ACCCCTCTCATGAGAGGCCACAGGATGGGAAAGGAGCCTAGAGCAATCCATTTCATTTAGAAGAAGGGCATCTGTACATCTGGCCATGCTGCTTCAGCCCCATAACCAGCCCACTGGGGGTCGGCCCTCTGCTATCTTTAAGGAGCTCTGCAGCATCAGAGAGGCTGGAATGCAAGAGGTCCCCACCAGGTTGGATAGGTAAGGATATCACCTGGCTCTGGATGTCCTCCTGCCACCTCTCTGTCCATAACGGTATTTCACCTAAGACAGGATGTCTCAAAAAGTTAACTGTTAAAATGCAAATGGGCCATAAATCTCAGATCACAAATGCAGGAATACTGCAAGTGGAGCATTCTTTTATTTTCTGAATAAATTAAAAATTTCATAATTTTGAATGCATCCCACTCCCCAAATCCTGCAGGACTGGTGGGAAATTCAACACTGTCTTCTCAGAGCTAGAAGGTCCCAGAGCCTCACTTGGCCCAGGGGCTGGTTGAGGCCTCATGTGGGCCACAGGGTACTTCTAAGCTAGAATACTCTGCCCAGTGTGGGACTGGCAGCCTCTGTGGGTCGTGTTCTCCCTATGGGGGCTGCAGGAGAAGCAGAAAGAAGGACTCACGGACCCCACAGACCCCTCTCCTCCCCCAGGTCAAAAGGAGGACTTGCTCTTTCACGTGGGCCTATTGCTGATGGGGGCTCCTTCCTCATCTCCCCAGTGGGCTATTCCAAAACAAAAACAAAAGCAGAAGGTGTGCCACCTTCCTATCATTTTTTTTTTAAGCGAGAAAGAGAAAGAAAACGGAAGCGATACTCCATGGGTCAGGAAGAAAAACAGTATTTTGCCTTCAAATTATCACACCATACATATCTATTCCAGGAGAGGTTATGACCCAAAGGCTTGGTGTTTGAGATACTCCTGTGCAGCCCAGGGCCCTTGCCACCACAAAGCTGGGCTAGGCAGATTGTCAGCCCAATACCACTAACTGGCAAAGATATAGCCAAAGGCGTCTCCTGCCCTCCCAACATGCCTTTGCCCCCACCAGGAGAGCAAGGTCAAAAAGCATCCATTGGGGTCCCCTCCTGGGGAGAAGCAGGCATGTGGAGCAGGCCCTGTGGATTGAGATGAAGGACCCAAACATCTGGGGACTGTGCAGGAGTTGATGGTCGGATGTGGCAAGTCAGGGGAGGCAGGAGGGAGGCAGGGTGAGATCAGCTTGTTCTGTTCATGGGGCAGCTCACTGATTGATAGGTGCCTCCTCTGTTGCCCCATGGGAGTTCAGGAAAGGAGAAGGGGACAGAGATAAAGGGGCAGGATTTCACGTCCTCAGCTACTCCTGCTAAACTAGGATCCTCATATTCATTCTTCATGCCACTCAGTCTTCTTAACCACCCCCCCGCCACCAGCATTCTAGAACAACTGGTGGGAACAGACCTTTCTCCCTGACAAGTGATCCAGGCTGAAGTTCCCAAGTTTGTTTAGTTCCCTTGCTTCTTGATCCAAGATCATTATCATAATTCTGGGCATTAAAGAAATTTTTCTCAAAATGTGGCAAACAGATCACCCCTTAGCACTGCCTGAGAAATTCACATAAAATGAAGATTTTCTGGAACCCCAGCTACCCGATCACAATCCCTACACTGAGGCTTAAAAACCTGTGCCCAAAACAAGTTGCCAAGTCCAGTTGATTCTGACGGACACGGACTCTAGAGGGCTGTAGGAAGCCCCTAGTTTCTGGTCTTTGTGTGTCTGTGTGAGTATGGCTCCGTGTGTGTGTGCATTTGTCTGTGTGCTGGTAAGTGGTTCTCTGTGTACATATGTGTATATATGTGTGTGTCTGTGTGCATGTCTACAGGTACATAAGTGCACATCTGTATCTGTCAGTCTGTTGTGTGTCTGCGTGCACAAGTGCATGTGTGTACACATGCTGTTCAATATCAGACCTCCTTCCTGTCGGTGCCCTCTCCCCCACAGCCCAGTGATTTGTCTGCACCCTGGAAACATTCCCACAGGGAATATTGTGTTCCAAGCTCTTGTCAATATGGAGGTAAAAATGCAACTGTTGATACACCTAATTTAAGACTCCTCCCACCCTTGTGTGCATCCTTACCAGTGCACTGCCACCTTTGGTGACCTTTGGATGTCATAAACAAATCAGGCTTATTAGCTGCTGGTGCTCTCAGAGAAGGAGGAAGAAACAGAGTTAAGAGCAGAAAAAAAGGTGAACTAATGAATAGCTTCTGGAAGAGCCCTGTTTTCCTGGATATAAAGTCAAGCCATAGCCAAGCTAGCTCTTCCCAAGAGGATCATGTCCTACCACCAACCAAGCTTATTCCAGTCAGTACTGTCCTCTGAACTCTCATCAGAATACAATGAGGAAGGAAGAATGAGGACCCTCCCCTACTTCTATAGGAGCAGAACTAGGGGTTCCAGGGAGCTTCTTGCAGTCAGTGTCCCTCAGAATCACCTAGGCTAGGTAACTTGTTTTGGACACAGGTTTTCAAGTCTCACCCTCACACCTCCTCAGCTTCTCAGCTCCTAAAAGGAGCTGAAGACTAATGTGAATTTGGTTCCTTGCAGCCTCATTCTCCAAGTCTGGTCTTATTGCCAAGGATAGGGTGACGCTGATGAGCAGCCTTAGAGCCAAGTGAGGGCTCCACCTCAGCGTAGCTTACACGTTTGCTTAACCAATATTTGTTCAGTGTCAGCTGTGTGCCAGTTCTTTAGAGGCACTCTCAGTAGTCATAATCACAGCAAACATGTGAGGTCACAGTGGCCAGGAGCTGAGCCAAATGCAGGGGATGCATCTTCTCATTCAAGCCTACAACCACCCAAGGCAGCAGGAGCCATTGCTACAGCAAGGGGCCTCTGCCTCTGCCTAATACCTGAGATAATGAGTACTGGCCTTGAGCCCAGGCCCCCTGCCTCACACTTGCTTCATTGGAAGCAACAGGGGTCACAGTGGCTCAGTGTCAGCAACTTGTCAAAGATTCACTGAGCTTTCACGTGTGGGAGTCAGGATTCAAACCTGGAACCGTCGTGTACCAAAGCCCACTCACTTCATATTGTACCCCAGGTTGTGCCCTACCTAGAGGTGGGTGCTCCACTGGGAGCCTCAGAGGGACAAAGACGGTGGAGGTCCATGTCTGGGGCTGCAGAAGGATGTGGGAGAGCCTGGGGTGAGAGAGGCCTTGTCCAGCTCTCCAGGAAACAGCAGCTGGCCACTCAGGCATAGCAGAAGATGTAGGCCTAACTGCTGTGGAAGGCTGAAGAAACCTGCTCAGCCACCCACAGGGAGCCTCTGTCCACCTCTTGGTGACCTGTATTGCAGAGGTGGGATCTGGCGTTGGGATTAGGAGGCCATAGCCCAGGCTTGCTGTAGGAGCTGTGTGGGATATTTTGAGAGCATGTCTGAGGACTTTGTCTTCAGGGAAGAAGTAGCCTTTCCAGATTTCTGAGCCATAAAATGGTAACTTCCCTGTTCCTAAAAACTCTTCAAGCTCTTTTTTCTGGATATAGGTACCGGATCCTAGGACCCGATCTAAAATTACCCTGAGTCCCAGGAATGTAGTATTTAGTAGCACAGCATGTGCAAGGCCCTGGGTTCAGTTCCCAGAACACAATAGATAGATGGTAGAAAGACAGATAGATGACAGTAGATTAAATTAAATGACCTTGAGAGCCTGGTAGAAACAAACATCTCCAATGAGCAGAACCCGAGGAATGAGAACAGGGCCTTGCAGATCTGAATTAGAAGGTAGGAATGCCATCAGTAGCTGCAGGAAGACCGGAATTATTCACAAGTTCCACTGGGAGCAGCATGTGTTGGGTGCAGATTGTTCCACCATGATTCCTGGTTACAGCCAGTCCAGCTCTGTATTTTTCCTACCCCGAGCAGCTTAAATTTCTTTGCTACACAATTCACAATACCTAAACTGTAGAACCAACCTAGATGCCTGTCAGTAGATGGATAAAGAAAATGTGGTATTTATACACAATGGAATATTACTCAGCAATAAAAGAGAATAAAATCATGACATTTGCAGGTAAATGGATGGAGTTGGAGAAGATAATGCTAAGTGAAGTTAGCCCATCCCAGAAAACCAAATGCCAAATGTTTTCTCTGATATAAGGAGGCTGATTCATAGTGGGGAGGGGAAATGTGAAGATGAGACAAACTCTAATTTAGAAGAGGGAGGGGAAGAGAGGGGGCAAGGGGTGTAAAAAAGATGGAGGAATGAGATGGACATTATGTGTATGAAGATATGAATGATGTGAATATATGCTTTGTATACAACCAGAGATATGAAAAAATGTGCTCTATATGTGTAATATGAATTATAATGCATTCTGCTGTCATATATAACAAATTTGAGTTAAAAAAATAAAATTAAAAAAAATTCTAATGGGAAGACATATTAGAGCTGATCTCTTTTCCCCTTGTGATTTGGCCTTTATTGAAACTCTTTTTACAAAACCCCAGTGACAGTACTGGTTCCTACGCATGTCAGACAGCAAGCCCTTGCTCTGTTTCAGATGAGTAGAGCAAGTCAGTTCAGATGCCCATGGACTCCCAGTACCTACTTTGCCTCTTCTCACCCAGATCGTGCTACAACTGACAGAGGGAAAAAGGAAGAGAGGGAGGCAGGGGAAGGGAGAGAATGAAAGGACTCTTCACGGGAGCGTGGGCAGCCCACACCCAGAGGTGGCTATTGGAACTTGGGCTAAAGAGCTGGTTCTCAGTCTAGGCTAATGTCTCCAACTATTTCTGATAGTCCCAAAGGTCAATCAAAACTTTCTGAACAGCCATCCACAATATGTGAATATTTATTTATTTAGTGACATGAAAATATATGCCATGTACTACATTATACACTATAGCACATAAAATATACACTAAAATGGTAATATTAAAAATACATTCAAGAGGAGTTCTAAATTTTCTTCCTGCACTCAGTGGACTGACTTAAGTGCCCCTGACTTAAGCCTTTGCTAATCCCGGGGGCATGTAGGCACCCTCCCCCTCCAGCCAAAGGACGTCATCATGTGACAGAGGCATCGGAAACTGCAACAGATATGCTACATCTTCACAGAGTGTCAGTTTTACTCAGCTATGGGTAAGTCAAAATATTTTAATGTAGACCTGACTATATTATGGAGCAGGATTCACAGCCCACATGAATTTTTAAGTTTGAACAGGAGGCTTTGGGGAAAGTTCTTCTGCTGTGGGACATGCTGGACTCTGGGATGGATGGCCAAGATTATGACTTCTGAGGTTGGGACACTTGGTGAAAACATTTCCAATCAACATTCTAAGTGAAGGCAACTAAGCCCAAGCATGAGAGTGTTAAGAAACTTTGAGGTACTGAGTGGCTAAATGTTAAATAAAAACATCAGTGTTTTACTCTGAATAAGGGTTTCCTTATTCCGCATTCATTCAACAGATATTTACTGAAATGCCTGCTCCAGTCCAGCAACCATTGAAGATGTTGAGTCGAATTATTTAAGAAGAGACTTGTCTTAAGAGTATCAGACCCAGAGAGAAGGAAGGACAACTATGCTTGGAAAACTGCAGTAGCCATTCCTCTGAGCCCCATCTACTTTTTTGAGTCTGTTTCTCTGACTGGAATCAAAGTTACTATGAAGATGCAAAGGGAGAGATATTTTGAAATTAAAGTTGATAAATGGGTGGAAATTCATCTAAATTATGCCTGAAGTTTATTTCTTTGGGCAATATTGAACCTGAATGAATGCCCGGACTAGCACTGGGCATATTGGGGAAGAGCAAGCAATCCCGACATGAGTCCCAGCCACAAAGGGAAGGTTGACAAGGAGACAGGAGATCCCGAAATATGGTTGTCTAGGGAAGCATTTGGATGCATCAAACAATGGGTAGAACTACCGGACTGCCAAGAGGAAAGAGGCGATCTGCCTTGTACACTATTAGTGCTGTGGTTACTTCTTATTCTCCTAAGATTTCACAATCCTTAAACATAATTACTATTACCAGAATAATGGCCACACCATGAAAGGACTGCAAGCAGGAAGATGGTATGTCAATCGTCATCAGTGATGACTAATCAGCTCTTAGGACAATACTGAACCCAGCCTTGCCTGTGTAGGACAAGGCTTAAACCTCATCTCAACCCAGGCATTATGTGTGTCTGAGTGCTGTACTGAGTCGTTGGAAATAAATTCGGGAAGGCAAGGCCTGCTAGATTGAATCACTGATGCAGAGGGAAAAAAATGAAGTCCTAATATTTGGTGAGCTGATTGGTTGGAATGGAGGGGACCAAAGAGGTGGATCATACATATGGGAGACCTCTCTTCCTCTAAGTTCCTGTCCACGGAATGATCCCCACGGAAGCAGATGGAAAGCACTTGCCTATCCTTGGCCTTAGAAGAATGACAGAGAGGGAGAAAGTGTGTGGGAAGGTGAGAGAGAGACAGAGACAGAGAGATTAAGTGTGGATGACTCCAGGGTCATTGGTAAATGACTCCAAGCATAACCCTCTGGTGAAAGCCTCATTGCCACCTCTGAATCCAGAGGACAAAGCACCAGCAAGCAGTTCTGTTAAGGAAAGGGTCTAGGGAACAAAGGCAGGAAGCCATACTTGCGTTGTCTGGAGGGCAGGTGTACTGTTCTGCTAGGACTGCCACCACAAAGCACTACAGACTGGGTGGCTCAGATGACAAAAATGTATTTTCTCACAGTTCTGGATGCTGAGCATCTGAGATCAATGTGTCAGAGCATTAGTTTCTTCTGAGGCCTCTCTGCTAGGTTTGTAGATGGTTGCCTCCTCTCCGTATCTCCCTAGGGTCTCCCTCTGTAACTCCTCCGTGTCTAATCTCTTCTTGTTTATATCAGCCATGTGTAGTAGGGCCAACTCCAATGGCCTCATTTAACCTGACTTGCCTCTTAAAAGACTCTATCTCCAAATACGTTCTGAGGTACTAGTGGTTGGGACTTTAACATATGAATTCTGGGGGCAGCAGACACAATTTATTTCATGGAAAATAAGAAAATAAAAAACCAGAAGTGTTTCCTTAACTTTGGTGAAAGGAAGCAATGGGAGAAAAGAGAACCCACAAGTTCACTGGGTCGAATGTGAGAGGGAGACTGACCAACTTGGCTCCTTGTGGCGGGACCTCAGGAGTGATCGGCTCCTCACAAAGTCCTTCTTTGTGATCCTCACCACGGCAGGGTGGTGAGGATTCTAGGAGCATGTTGGCCCAATCACACACATGAAAAGAAAGGTCATCCTTGATCCCAAACTGCCTTGGCCTCATTGTCCCATGGGGTGGAGGCGTCTGCATGCAGCAGCTGTGAGGATCTGACCTCAAGACGGAACTCTCAGGGGCCTGGGAAAGAGTCCCCCAGTATACATCGCCTTACTGGCTCTAGGACAAATCCCTTTGGTCAAGATATGGTGCTCTCAGGAGCCGTTTTGTTTAATTTTGGGATCTCTGTCACTGCAGCGGCCTGAGTTTCGGAGAGTGGAGGGAGAGAAGCTCTTGCTTCCAGGGTGCTGGCACCAGGAGGCATTTGTAATGCTGCTAACAGCTCTGTGCAGCTCCAATCTGGCTTATGCAAACCCAGTCATTTTGCAGCCCACAGGGAAGTCTAGGAGGAGGGATCTGCTTTGATGTATTATCAAAGAAGATTTTTGCATTTACGTGGGAATAGCTAATGCTAAAAATATTGCTATTTGGGAGAAACACAGGCCCATCTATTCCCTAAATTTGGATATTTACAATGATGCTATGACGTCGTAGAACACTCATCATTAAAACAAACAAACAAACAAATGTGAAACTCCCTGTTTCCTTCTTCAAAAAAAGACCAAATTAATGGAGGGCAAAGCATCCACATGCTTGTGCATATTTCTTTTCTTTCTTTTTTTCTTCTTCTTCATTGTCTTCTTTTTTTAACCTGCAATTGAACCCAGGGGTGCTTACTAACTGAGCTATATCCCCAGCCCATCCCAATCCTTTTTATGTTGTATTTTGAGACACAGTCTCACTAAGTTGCTTAGGGCCTTACTAAGTTGCTGAGGCTGACTCTGAACATGCAATCCCTCTGCCTCAGTGTTATGGTTTGGATATGAGGTGTTCCTCAAAAGCTCATGTGTGAGACCATGTAAGAAAGTTCAGAGGAGAAATGATTGGGTTGTAAGAGTCTTAACCCAATCAGTGAATCAATTCAGGATGGGATTAATTAAAGTGGTAGGGTATGGCTGGAGGAGATGGGAATTGGGGTGTGGTTATGGGATATATATTTATATCTGGTGAGAGGAGTCTCTCTTTCAGCTTCTTGATCTGCTTCTTGATGTGAGCTGCTTCCCTCTGCCACACACTCCACCATGATGTTCAGCCTCCTCTCCAGCCCCAAGGAACAGAGCCAGCCTTTTATGGACTAAGACCTCTAAAACCATGACCTCTCAAATAACTTTTTCTCCTCTACAATTGAGCTGGTTGAGTCCTTTAGTCACAGCAGTGAAAAAGCTGACTAAAACACTCAGCCTCCCAAGTTGCTTGGAGTAGAGGCCTGTGTCACCATGCTGCTGTTGGTGCATATTTCTTGCCTCCACTCTTCAGACAAGAGTCCTCCATGACCCCTCATGCTGGAGCATGAGTATGACTGTAGCTTCCCAGAAGTAGGAAAATGCTTTTCCATGGCACAAGGCTTTGCTCACAAGGGCTGGGGCCTGGCACATTTTGTTCCATGAAAAAGAAAAAAATTTTTTTTCTATAATCTGACCCAACCCAAGGAAATAGGAAGAGATTCAAGTCAGGATCTGACTGACTGAAAAGCTCTGTTGCTCACCAGTGATAAGGGATTCACTTGGGCCTCTCAACCTCTGAGTCTGGGCTTCATTTGTAAGATGGGAATAATATTATTTGACTTTCCCCCTTCATGAAAATCGAATGGTGTCGTGTAAGTGAATGTATTTGTAAGTGACAAGGCATAGGACATTCCTTGGTTTTATCACCCAGCATTTTTTTTTTACCTCTCCTTCCAGTAAAGGTTTAAAGACTAACTAGAACTTAAATCAACTCTGACCAACCCTATCTCACCATTATTCCCTGAGCTACAGGTGGACCTTGATCCTTTCTTAGTCCTGGGAGCAGAAAGCTGTCCAGACCGGGCCTAGGAAAGCCTTGCGGCCTCCCAGGCTCCTCTGTGGTGAACTGGCCCTCCAAAGTCTTTCCACCCTCTCTCCCAGCGTGCCACCTGCCTTGTGATGTTTGCAAGGGCTGTACAACCAGAAACTACCCTTCTCTGACTCCTCTTCAAGCAATGACCTGAATGTAAACTGTTACCCAAAATGTTCCACTCAAGCAAGATTTGGAAGGCAGATGTGAGACAGTGATGGTTTCCCCATGACTAATGAATTTCCACTCACACACATGCTCACAAAGATACCTGCTCCCACAGCAGTGGTCCAATATGGAATCAATGTTGTCTTGAATTTGAGAGACAGTTTGGTGGCAATGGCAATGCCTCAGCCCTGTTCCCAGAATGAAATTCCTGAATTCAGTCATTTTATGGTAGCCTCCTAACCCCCCACCCCCTGCTTTGCCAACTATTTCAAGCTCTGCTGTATTCTGGGACTTATTACTGAAGATTCAACCTAGAACTGACTCCTTCAGGCCATGCAACAATTTTGCAAGCATCCAATTCTTGTGTCAAAGCCCTTTCTACCCTAAATATCTAAAATGCTTTCTGTATTTTACAAATGAAATTGGCCTGGTCCCGGAGGAGATGGACACTGGAACTAACCAGGACAGGGAGAGTCGGATCACAAAATTTTATTGCAACAAATGAAAAATGGAGTCTAACTTTCTAATAGACTTGGAGGTTATGAGGCCAGAGCATCTGGCAGCCATTTCACCTTTGCCAGATAACTTGTTTGAGAAAAAAAACAGCCCAAGAAGAGCCAGGCCAAAAGATGAGAGAGGACAAAGCCTGACACCATTTGAGTAGCTAGATCAAGCAACATCTTTGCCAAACCTATCCCTGGATTTTCCAGTTACAGGAACCCATGACTTCTCCCTTCCATCTAAAGCAGTTGCAGTTGGTTATTCCATCATTTAAACAGAATATCACTTTTGAGGCATAATGGGGACAACAGAGAGAAACCACACAGCAGCAGTGGTCAGATGATTACAGACCACATATTCTCAACTGGGAATTGAGAATCTCCTGGGTGCACTTCATAGTTTACAGGTGAGCAGGTCTGGGCTGGGCTCCTGGATCATATGGGGGACACATGTACAATTGGAAAACTCCCTCGGAGAAGGGGTTCTCACATGTACCCTTGGAGTGGCTGCTGTGAGACAACCCACAGGAAGGGGAAGGAAGCAATGGGCATTCCTTGGTGACACTTGAATGTGTTGAATCACCCATTCGTCTTGAATCCCAGTTTCAGGCACTAATATTGTATTTTACTCAATTTTTATTTTATACTTTTAGGGTTAAAAAAAAACCCTTTGCATTAATTTACTCAGTATTGTAACCACCAGATGAGAACCCTATCAAGTGAAATATTTCAGCCCAGCTTGTGTAAGCCGAAGCAGCTGGGCCATTTTTTTTAAAAAAAATTGTAATAAATAAGTGAATACATAATCAATCCCTTGAGTGCCAGCTCTCTGCTCTGTGTGCTCTGGGAGCTGTGCTTTTTTATCTTCTCTGCCCCAAAAA